GCTACTATACAGCACTGACAATGTCAACATTTGAGGGTCTGGGGTACTACAAGGCAAACTGGGGAATGGAGGAGCCAATGAGCTGGGGCCACAAGAGCGGATGTAACTTTCTCAATGGAAGTTGCACTGAAAACGAGAAACACTATCCCAAACAATTCTGTAGCGACGCCACTTCTCGATGCACGTCGGACCGCTCTGCGTACGGGAAGTGCTATCGGGGCCAACAAAGGGAATATCAAGGTCCTAATGATGTTTGTCGCGTGATTGGGAGTTTTACTGAGGGCAACGATAACGTAAAGACCTATACTTATTGTACTGGGGCTGAGACCAACGCCCTTCCTGGATCGCTGATGGGCCCTGATTCGTGGTGCCTGGATGGTGAGGGACTGCAGGTGCAAAATGCTGGGGAGAGTGCTGAGAGCCTGTCCGGTGTGTGTGCGCGGGTGTCGTGTGATGAAGGCAGACGTGCAGTCGAGGTGCAGTACAAGGGTAGCGACACATTTAAGGAATGTCCCGAAGGTACCTCAATCGATGTCGAATCCTCTGCGTTCCAAAGCGGTGGTAAGATCAAGTGCCCCAAGTACGATGAGGTGTGCACCATCACACCGGATGGCAGAAGCAGATTGTCCATGAATGTTGAACCCGACAGCACACGCAGGGCTGCTGCTCTCTCTGCTCTTGTGCCTCTCGCCATGACCTTCACTCTGATGGGTCTTCTGTGATGGGTCTTCTGTGAAACACCACTGCAAGCACAACAGGGGACACCAATACAGCAGTCAGTATCCCAATGGAAACTGTTTCTGCCGCAATGAGGATAGGCACACTGTCTATGGGCCATTTGATAGTACAACACAGTCTCTTGTTGCATAATTTTGCGGTACCAGGCAGAGGAGCATGATTCTATTAATGGTATCTTTTTCTTTTCAAAACAATTATATTGCATGCTGTATCATTGCACTGCATTTCTTTTCTTTTAATACATTGGAAAAAAAAAACATTTAATTTTATTTGCTGAAAGTAATGGAAACGCGTTTTTTGTTCCATGGAAATTTGGGCTGCACTGTTTTCGTAAGTTTCATTTCCACTTCAGTTCTTTATACTGAGATTCATCTCTGTGTGTGAGAGCAG